TACCCGTTACACAACCGAAAACGCGCTTCCTAACTGCCTCGTTACGGATTCGCCGACACCAACCCACACGAGCTATGGTTCTGAGACAACGATTGTCGAACACCTGAAGACGTCTCATTTCCGCTACTCGAATAGGCCAAGTCTCACAGCCATACAAAAAACAGCCCGTACTGTATTGGCAGTAAGACAGTAAGACAATTTATTCTGTGGCAATGTGTCTGTGGAGTAGATGCGACAGTCATAAGAAACAGACGATTAAAGTGCACACTAGCGATCGCACTTGTTCACCTTAGCTTACCCGAACTCTCAACGCCAAATAATCAGTTGATATAACTTCTGGTTCTTTCTGTATTGGGAACACTAACATCACAGTCACAGAAAGAGACCAAAAGCGGCTAACCTAGGAGATCCATTGACTTCATAGCCATGCAGCTAAATGTTCATGAGGCCAGACATTATGATGTCAAGCGGTGATGGGCAGTTTGAGACAAAAATAGTAGCCACGGTTCAATACAACTCATACGGTTGATGGAAAGCTTCGACAACACATTTCGAGATTGACTTGATGGGCCTAGTCCCCGAAACTCTATTCACCTTTCTCCCTACATGGTCAATAAATGACTAGCATGCTGCATAAACACTTGTTTGCAAATTAACCTGAGGTCAGTGAGACACCCAGTTGAAATTCACACAAATCGCTCGTCTATGACAACCTTTATCTGAACATGGTACACACAGAATAGTCTCCTGTTTCATTTGGAACGATATTCAAAGTGACAACGGAATTTTTACTGCTACTCATGATGTCGAGAGCCCATATTCGGCTTCTTAAGGTGAGAGTACGCTCGGTCAACTTAAATTGACTGACTGACTGACCGACTTGCTTCCTGATTAGCCAATGCAGTTGGAAGTATCACCCATCCACGAGTGCCTGACATAATCTTCATCTTCCTGAAGCAAACCTGGGGTGGAATAGGAGCTTTTTGGTGCACATTATCAGTTACAACAATGGCATCATGAGAAAGCTTCGATACTGAGGGAGTAAAAAAGACCGGACGACTCTTCACGCCGCATTACTCTCCACTCTTGTTGAAAGGTGGCCAAGCAAGGAATTCACAAACGGGCGAGCTGGCTCAGTGGTTAGAGCGCGAAATTACTGACCGGAAGATCCGTGGTTCGAACCCGACCTCTGCCTCTCGACTTCCCCTGCCTAGGTTTAGGCAACCTGGCAGTATCTCAGCCGTCGTGCTTCCTTTTACTGGTGCGGCAGTTGGGCAGCGAAAGAGTACAACAACTGAACAAACGAATGAATACAACAGTCACGACGGTAAACTGACTATGTGGCACTGGGTTGAGTGAATGGGTGACAAGAATATAGAGCTGGTAAGGTGATGGCTACAGTTGGACAGCTAGGTGTACTTTTAGCGATCTTCTGGCAGCAACATTTCCACAGATAGTGAAAAAAAATGCTTACCACCGATTCCACTATCAAAACAGTCCGAAGCCAAGTCACTTATTGTCGACGTAACGGAAGCCGTACTGTGTTCTGTTTCGGTGTCGCTTGCACTCTCATCTAAAAAACAAATGAACAGAAATCAGTGCTTGCAATGCAGTACGCAAGTAAACGGTAACGCGATGGCAGACAAGTGGCAGTAAGAGAAACAGAGAACGACTAGATTTTGGATAAGTGGCAGGCGTCAGTCAATTTCCCTGTGTGGACTAATCAGAATAAACGCGCGCCCGGATAAGAGAACCGCAACTCAAACGAATGCAAATTCTACAAGTTCCGCAACCGCCCAAAACCGTTCACAGCAAACAAAACAACCTGGACTAGAGATCAAAAATGGCTGAATTCACACATACACACACACACACATGGTAACTCTATCAGCATTGTTACACACCGGGTATTATTAGATTCCGTAGAGAAAACCTATTGTTACACTTTAGAAAAATCCGTGAGCTTCTGTTATCCCCAGAAATAACGCCCTGGGGTGGAAGAGGCCAGGTGTGAACCTGAGAATAGGGAAAAAGGGCTGACTACATTGATGCGGTGCACAACCAACTCAATGGAAACTTGTTGTTCTAGAACGGTAAACCGCCTTGTAGTGTTGAAACAGAGAATAAATGAATACGCTGACAGCTGAGAGAATAGGCAACCGTATAACTAGTTGGACTGTTCTGAGATGAATAACAATATTCGTTACAAAACATCAAAAATGGTTGGACTGAATAGTCTTCGGAAAGGATGAATGATGAACCGGTAGATAAACAGACATACAGCTCACACTTGGAAAGCAGATACAAAGTATCCAGATATAGCAGGAGAACTCGGTAGGACGTTGAGAAAACCTCAACATCTGCCGACATGACGTCAGCGTTGGACGATTCTTTCTATTTCAAAGACAACACAACTTGACTGCCACAGAAATCCAAGATGCGGTGTGATGGTTTGTAGGATGCCAGGGCCCATTGACCTACATTGAAAGATTACGCTGAAACACAGTTTCTAGTTCCAAGTTTAGCAACGGATGTCATTCTGATGAACGCAAATTGCTGGTAAAACAAGTTGACGGTTGGAAGAAGTACGTCAAACTGTCTGTTGATATGGTGTCGTCAACACACTGCACTGAAGTCGAGCATTTGCGGCGAAGGCTTTAGTTGGGGCAGTTGATCATCTTCCTGACCAAGCTTGGGCGCTATGAAGGTACCCTAGTCTGTGTACAAACATGAACTTCGCACCTAGAGATGATGGAGTGCCACCTCAGGTGCGCCTCCGTACTAGTTGCATACAGCACAGCGGGAGACATTGTCACCATCATCATCACCACCAGGGAAAGCTAGATCAGTGTTGACACTGGCGTTTCACTTATGTATAGCCACAGAGTTTAGTTAATTACAATTAAAGCCCTGAAGTGAAAAAGTGGATGAGGGAAGGATCTCGTGCTAGTCAACCGCAAACACTCCGAGGTGCCTACACCCGCAAACTGTTCAGTCACAGGCAACTGATCAGTACCCGACCTAAAGGTGCCACCTTGAGGTGGTGGTCGTGCTTGAGTACTGCAATGATCAGGCGGGTTACATTGGCTGGAACTTCGTTCTACAAGGTGAAACCATGCCAGGAAGGCCAAAGGGGAGCAACCAGACCAAGAGGAGTGAGACCCCGTACTACGAGTAATCATGCTACGAGGCGGTCTGGGGGTAAAGTCGTACTGTCCTCTGCGACAGGAGTGTGAAGGCCACCAGCATGCCCATATATATGGAAGCAGCGATGCTGCCTTCCCCGAGAAAGGACGGGTTAGAAAAGGTCGGCCCCGAAAACCGCACACTCCGATCGCCCAACGGTTGACCGTGACCGCCGGCGCATTATCCAATACGGTCGAATGCTTTCAAAACCAAAGAGCCCGGTGCTGCTCAAGAGGCACATGCTACGCGCATTCGCATCGGGAATGAGACAGTAATGCCTTATTCCCTATGCCCTCAGATTAGGCGAACCCGAAGGGCTCTTTTCGCACAACCACGTGAAGGGTGGAAGAGAGCCAGGGGCGGTCGTGCAGCGTAGTGTGCACGCCATTACCAGCAAACTCAGCTGCGTTGGTCATTGCTGGCTTCCTGGATGGGGACCACGAAACAGTCCACATAAATGGTTAGAGACATTGTTTGACATGGCCCAGTCACGCCCTAAATGGCGCTCATGCATCCAAACTATTGCCTTCAGTGCATAACTCCCTCCCCAATCCCCCCACTTGACAGCCCACTGACAACGCTGGATTTATGCACCAATTTATCAGCTTCCGCCTCCAATGCGCAGCTACCTACCCCAATCGTCGGTGAACGAAACTCCGGCAGCTACAACCACTGTACGACGAGTATGCGATTAATACAGCTGACAATGATGATGACCATGAACTGATCAGTAGTGGGAGTAACTCACAGTTAGACAGGATAAACTCCACGGTTACGTTATGCATTCCAGTTCCCAAACAGTCAGTATTGCTAATATGCATACCTATTTGTGTGAAAATTTCCAGTATGCTCGTATCAAGCGTGTGGATTCGTGTGTATCTGATTGGGAGAGCAGTGCTTACCGTCAGCACTCGCATCAGACATGTCAAAGAAACGCAAACTGAGAAGATCGTTGCTTTGAAATATCATCCGAACATCTTCAGATTATACCGAGGCAACCGACTGAGCTTTTGAGGCAAAATGACTGAGAACAAATGGCCAAAGTTTCTCTTGGTAGGATGGCACCCTGGAGTATCCCCTTGGTTTTTCCAACCCACTTTTCATAGTGAGCCGTCATTACCTCTGTTGATTGAATCTATATTTTTGAGGAACGTTTTGCTTTCCGAGCTGAATTGCTTTGTTAAGTTTGCGCTAGATCAGCCCCACCATCTTGTTGTTGCACACAATCTAGCGATGCATCCCAACCAATCAACAGTTTCGAGTGAAATTCTGAGGGTCTCCAGTCGTTCTGACATCAAAAAAGTCCGCTAACAGCACTTTGAGCATTGACATTGAGAACTCAAGAAGACAATGATGCCGAATGAAAAACAGGTATCTTTGGACGGAGATCGTACTCTCAACGACTATTCCAACCAGCAGCGCTATCATCGTCGTTCGCTGTAGTCTCAGGTGGGCATGTAAAGTCCTGTGACCCACCAGCTCTGATGGGACCGTGGCTCAGCCGGATTCCTACTGGCTCCAAACACAACACACCTCGACGCATCATCCAAGGCCAATTGGAATTGAGAGAGCCTGTGCAGATGAGAAATATGGTGGGCCTGAAAGGTGACGTCCACAGGTTGTTCCAATTGGTTCGTTCGAGTAGGTCCCGGAAGCCTCTTGTCAATGAAATTATCAGGGACCGAAATCGCACACTGATATCCTCGTGACCCCTCCTGAGCTTGGCTGGAGACATTCCAAAAATTGGAGGCTGGTCGATGTCATTGGCGTTCGTGCTGTCAGTTTTTTTTCCAGGTTGTCTGACTTAGCGCTTGACATAGGCCATCATCACGTCCCCTCCCTCACTCACTCTTTTCTCTTCTTTCCATTCTAAGGCTTCAAATGTAGTTAAATAAACGCTGCGGTTGTATGACAGTGGAGTGTCAACAGTGATGTTGTTGTCTCTGATGACGATGATGACTGACGATGTGACTCGGAAAACTCATCTAACAGGTTGGCACTTTATATCAATCAGCGCGAGGAAATAAGAATTACGGATGGAGGAATAATCACTCTAGGCTTTTCCAGCTGACCTCTTCAAACATCACTTGTAGTTGTTCCTTAATTATTAATTGTCTCGGGTCAGTGTATAACATTTTTGGACTAACAAAAAGCAGAAAGCGAAGACAAATAATAAAAACTGGATCTTACCAGTTGGATAGTCAGATACTTCGTCCGGCAACGATATAGAAGTGGGAAGCTGTCCCAAGAGATTTGAAATGTGAGCCTCACCCGTCTCATCTTGAACACTCGCCGATGTTGCCAAGTGCAACCGCGCAGCGACCAGGGCATAAAGTAGGGGGCTGCCTGTGAAGTCCGCAGACAGACTAGCTCGTGAAGATCTAACATCGCTACCACCAGCACCAACCAGATCAGGCCAAACATCAAAATGCACCGGTAAAAGTAGGCTGGAGAACCACTCGGCTTTGTCACCAATCACCTCCGGAGCATACTCACCCGCGATAATACGTTGGTAGGCCTCGTTCATCGCGCAAAGAGAGCTTTCGGCAAAATATTCCACGGCCTAGGGAGCGAAGTTGGTATTTTAGAGCGTATTAGGTGTGAGAGGAAAAATCAACGACAAAGTACGAAGATTCATTGGGGAAAAGGAGCGGTATTTTAAAGCATATTAGGTGTGAGAAGAAAAATCAAAGACAAAGTACGAAGAGTCGTTGGGGGAAAGGAGCTCGAGGCGAAAGGAGTGTGGTGATCCTCTGTGAAAATTCTAGGAATTCAATGATACCTGTGTGGCAACCAGGAAAGTTGAAAAGTGCGCCAGTAAATCTGGGTACGTTCAGACACGCGCGCCAATCTCACACTCAATGATACGCATGTCGTTGGCTTCTGCTACGTCAGTAACATGGATAGTGGATGCGATAGAAACCCGATCTACAGCTGCCACCTTGACGTGGTGGAAACAAAGAACTGCTACCTGATTTGCACCTACACTTATACCGCTCTCATGCGTTATTAAACCTCACTGCTGTTACACCACAATTAACAAGCCATGAGAAATTCCCCTACGGAATTAGGGTTCTTGGTCGACAATCATTGAACTGCTTATCTATGAAGGTGCTGCTACACCCTCGGACGGCACCAGGGGGAATGAGCTTCGAAGCGATTCCTGTGGGATTCCAAGTTCGCGAGAACCAAAACTGCTTCATTGCCCACTCCCAGTGTCTCGCATGATGTTATACGGTTGGCGGAAATGGGTGTTTCCCTGGTTACTCCTCTGTCAGTGTTTAGGATTCCGCAGAGATGAATAAGCTGGCACTGTAGCGCTACAGCTTAACTTGTGACTATTTGTAGGAGATATAAACTTTACGGCAATCTGATTGTGGTCAAAACCAGAGGAGGCTAACTAAAAGGTAACGCGAAACATACCAAGTAAAATCGGATATGCACAGGTGTTCACAGAGTTAAGGACACGCCTAGAATCAGCTAGGATGGGGCAAGCAGGCGACGCCCAGATCGTATCAGGTCAGGTTGTTTATAGCCAGTGCGGAGTCGTCCTGATTTGACCCAAATGTATACGACCTGGAAACTAGTCTCCGTAGAAAAGAAAATTAGCTAAGGGCCAATGGACAAAGGCGGTCGTTGAATAAAGCAATGGTATGGAAATAATAAACCGGGGGTTGGTTTCCCCTAATCTTCCGCTCACAATCCTTTAAACCAGTATGTAAAAATGTGGGAGCTGGGATACGTGAAAACGAATAGCACAGCGTGAATAGGCGCAGCTACCGAATAGACGNAGCCAGTGCGGAGTCGTCCTGATTTGACCCAAATGTATACGACCTGGAAACTAGTCTCCGTAGAAAAGAAAATTAGCTAAGGGCCAATGGACAAAGGCGGTCGTTGAATAAAGCAATGGTATGGAAAAAATAAACCGGGGGTTGGTTTCCCCTAATCTTCCGCTCACGATCCTTTAAACCAGTATGTAAAAATGTGGGAGCTGGGATACGTGAAAACGAATAGCACAGCGTTAATAGGTGCAGCTACCGAATAGACGGTCTGGAGCGAATTCGAAAAGGCAAATCACAAAGTGGGCAGCAGACGGTAAACAAACCTGTGTTTTTGCCAGCATACTGGTAAATAGACACGGTTGAGGGCGTGATTTCATGAAACTGTCAAACTGGAATGCAACCACTGGTCGCGGATAAAGGCGCAGTGTACGTGTATGAGCTGGAAGACCACCGAGAATGTTCCTCGAATTCAGAAAAAGTACCTGGAGTTGGAGGTAAATTTACAAAGCAAGTAACTAGCAGTGTCAAAGTAGAGGTAAAAATAAAGAAACTGTACTGCAATTGATCTCGAAGATTAGCGTAGTACGAGCCAGTTTTCAGAACCCGGGTCAGACCAGCTCACATACACTATCAGGTCCCGATCAAGTTTCGGAACAACTGTGTCCTGTTTTCTCACTGTCTTCTCAAGTGCAGTATGTGAGTGACAGCTCGATCGAACCAAATAAGTGTCCAGAAAAGATGATGATACTGATGACAGTAGATGGAAATTCACAACAGAATGTTACTTTAGTTCTGCCACGAAGTCAAATGCACTCAGTCGGAGAAAAGGAGTTGATCGTAGGGGTGACACAGCACGTTCGGATAAGCCTGGTACCACGGATCACAGGTTGTAGGGATTCACCTCATTCTCAGTGAATTAACGGAAACGGATGAACTAGAAGCGACTGGAGAAACCAGCAATCGTGTGAGAATTATGTGTGGAAACGTGTTTCGTTAACATCGTAGGAACATAGGGTAGTTGTTCTTGCTGTTCATTGGTAAAGAACTTGTGGCAAACTGATAATAAATCGAAAAACGTGCAAGCGAGAATTGGAACGGTATATCAATTGGAGAATTTTTGGGACCGGTTGGGTAGTCATCGTTTCAGAGAGGTTTAGTAAATCCACCAAATCTCTCAGGAACGGTAGATCTCATTTAGTGTCCGACGATTATGTTCACAGTCGGATGTTTTAATGCAAAATAGAAAAAAACACAAGTTCACGAGACACATGTGGCCAGGTAACTACATGGATTCGAGCTGTAAGAAGAACATACCATTGCAACACGCGTGGCCACAGAAACTGAAGATTCTTCAGAGATGTAAGCCAGTGGATTGAAACTATCCCGTCGTTTCGCTGAATTGGTTTTCATCAGACGATTCACCTCAGAGAGAATGAGTTCTAATGGAGGAGAGTCTTTCACCGAAGGAAGCGTCTGAATAGCCTAAGAAATAGGAATTTCGGACAAACGGGTGGATTGTTAGGCATCCAGAAGCTACAAATCAACCAACCTGCACCGAAAAAGATCGCGCAGGTTATAGTTGTTAGAATAGAAACAAGAACGGCGTTGATCGTTCGGGTTTTTCTGGTATTCTAGGCACCAATTGGATGGAATGTAGAAAACAAACAACTCAGTATTGTCGTACAGGACACCTGGGTCGCGATATGCATTAGTCATAACCTGGCCGAAATTCATTTCGGCCTAGCCCGTACCGCTCGGACCGTACGAAGAAATCATTCTTACGATGAGATGCCCCACACTTCCAGTAAAAATGGCCCATGTTAGGCCGGAAAATGCTTGCTCTACTCCCATTATAATGCATTTGTAGATGATTAATTGTTCACCCGTTATGACCGATCCACCTATCGAAATTTAGACAGTGTTAGCCACCCAAATATCGTTTGACTTGTGGCAAACTCCAGAACATCTCACAAAATGAACTCCCCCTGACAGGTTTACAATAAAGACCTCACTATGGGACGGCCACAAGAGAGATCTCCACCATAAAACTCCCACTAAACTGGGTCATCTTCGGAAGTCGAAGAAAGCCCCTTTCCCTTAATGACCTCTCGTTAGGTGGATTCTTGAAAATGTAAAGTGTCAGTCGAAGCAAAAACACCGTGAAGCAATCAGATGCGGATTAAAATCGCGGCTGCCAGCAGGTTAGAACACTGTACCATGGCAAATAAGCGAGCGATAAACGATTTTTATACCCAGCTATCAAGTGACCAATTCGTTCTAGCCGATAACTTATGGACTTACGACTAAGTTACACACGTTCTCATGTAAGGCACCACTGACCAAGGTATCACTAAATCGTAGTCACACGAAAACTTCAATCCTTACGGATTTTCCGTGAATTGCATACCTATTGGAACGCACTAACTGTATCGAGTCTACCTTAGATATGCTGAGACTTCCGGATTCGTGTGTTATGATAAGCCGAGGGACGTCTAGGTATGTTTATTTTGAAGGTTATTTTGAAGGAAATCATTCATAATTTTGTTGAAAACTCTTCGACAGCCCATGATTGGTCTCGCCCATCAGATAGGCGCAGTCCCTCAAGCGTCTTGGGCTGTCAAAGCGCTTTCAGCAACCCTACGAGTAGTTTCCCTCAAGAAATAACACTGTGATATCGCGAATATGGTGTCTACCGAAACATGAGGCACTTTGTGTGCAGTACATTCAGTTAAAAAAAAAACATCATAAACGACAGATTCAACTGGTACTCAGTTGGGTCTCCCGTTGAACCCAAATTGGCGTGCAAGTGAGTGTACTTCGCGAAGAACGTGATGTCTTCAACCGTTAACGAAACATTCGACAAAGATGCAATGAATAGGTGATCAGGCCTGATGGATAACGGGCAATGAAGCAATGCACGGATAAAAATCACACGAAAAATAAAAATTGCAGTTAGCATGGTTGGATATTAGGCTGACAAATAAATGCTACGGGCTGGTAAATGATGCGAGACCATCCAGAGCATGACCAAGCGCACCGTACGGTATAATCTACGGTAAGAATTCATCAGGGCTGGGAACTTGGGTTAAATCTGTTGACGAGCTTGAAATTTAAGAATGCGTCTTTTTTAGTTTCCACTGCATCGTATTATCCGAGTCATGCTGAGTTGAAAGACAGCATGTATGAGTATGAATGATATAGGAGGTGAAAACACACCCCTACAACCCCGGGAGAACTGCCCAATCATTTCAGCCAACTGGATCACAGTTGCCTGCTCACATGTATTGGAAGCAAGAACTGGTGCAGTGGTCAATGAACGAGCAAACACTGCTTACTGTGAACACGCGAGCGAGTTAGAAGCAGAGGAAGTCTGCACTCCAATGGGATGGAACCACCTGCTCCGACGAACCAGGAGTAACAGAACATTCAACGATCAAACAGATGTCTATACAAAGCTGCGCCCTGGGCGCTGAGGATACTCATCAGTAAAACCGAGCTGCAGAGCCCACCGTACAGCGTTCGCGCTACTGTTACCACTTATATTGTAAAAACGAAATTTCCAAGGAAGGGGGAATTCCTTCATTTGGGAAAAGCAGTGATATCTCGTGCGGAATACGGTAGATCAATCAGGGAAAAGCCTTCCTTGGTTAAGCTAACTGAGAACACCCACTAAAAAGCCTGGAAAAAGTAACTTGAAAGTCCTCAGTGATATACGTCCAAGAGCGACAGGAAATAGGGGCTGGGTCACCAAGTCAGTGCTGTTGAAAAACTGTGATTGGCATAGTTTCCCCGCATTGCTTAAAAAGAGGACAAACGATGAGGCAGAAAAAGCTTCAAACAGGGAAGTTGAAGGGTAAAAGCCGATGAGAGATGGTTAACAGCAAACACTGCAGGCGATCGCGAAAAGCCAAATTAGAACGCAAACTATCACTCAGTGCCTACCTTCAGCGCGGACAAAATCTGTTTAGACAAGAGTAAGAGTTAGGAACCGATGACAAATGAACCGCAATAATCGTCGTTTATAGTCAGTTAAGTGAACCGAGACTCACATCGTTCAGGTGTCGAACTATACTGTGGCACTCAGTTTCCGGCAGATCGGGGAGTACTTCCATTACTTCTGGGTAGGAAAGCTAGGGAGAAATTTTAAAAAAACATTACTCCAGAGGTTTGGGAACAACCAAAGGCAGGAATTTAAACAAAGCATGAATGACCAAACGAAAACGGACGACGTAAAGAATGTACCTGTTGTGTGTCCAAGTTTGCCACCCAAACATCTTTGGGCATTCGAAAGACTTTTCGGGCTGTGTAGAACGATGTGGGTACACCGATTATGTACGGCGTTGGGGCGATTAGAAGCTGAAACAGATAGGATGGAAAAACTTGGGGATAAGTGGGAGGAACGACGCTAGAAAAGACTAGTAGGTTACTCGCAGATTATTAAGAGGGAGAGAGAAAAACCATCATTAAGCTGGGTTTGTGATCGCAAACATATAAATGTCAATCATCGACCGGTATTGATTCCAGATACCAAAGAGTTTTGGGTACTAGAGCTGTCCAAAAGAAAACCTAAACAGTATAACACTAGGCAGAAAAGACAACTGGAGACCAAGGTGCTTGAACATCTGTTTGATGATTCGTACGAAGAGCCTAAAAACAGTGAGTGAAATACCACCACTAATACAACCAAGTATCGAATAAGCGTCTAGCTGGAAAACAATGAGGAAAAACTGGTTCGTTCTGGAACGTCTCTTGGGTTTCAACAGCGACAGAAACGATTGTGGTGATGCAGCTCACAACCAACCAAAGCGGAACGACAATTGAACACATCGATCGAGGATGGATGCGCAGATCAATCCGCAAGCAAAGAACTGGTGGGAACAACCTTTCAAGAAATCTGTCTGCGTTCAGTAGTTGTCTACCAGCGACAGAACTTAAAAGGCTGTCGCACGTTCACCAACGGCTCCTCTCTGAAGGACGTTAGGCTGAAAAGAACGACTGTTCAATACAAACTTGAAACCGACTACCGGTCCATGATTCTTCATTGCTATTCCACTCCAGACCATCTGCGTCCTACGAATTGGTATTTACCTTCCTGCTTTACAACTGGAAAAGCTGAGCATCGAACGACAAGCCACCTGATCGATACGGACCACCGAATGAACCCGGCCGAGTCGTCCATCGTGATTTATCGAGTATTCTCCAATCAATCAAAGGTCACGAGCAAAATCGTACTCCAAACGGCAGAGGATAGCTACCGGGTTAGGTCGACAATCGCCTTAACAGTAAAAAAAAGCCGATGACTCACTCCTCTCTAAGAGGAACTCGGGGAATCATTTAAATGCCTGTTATTTCCAAGTTTTCACCAACAAAACACTACAAGGAATATATTAAACTAGTCTGAAACGAGTATTCCTAAACCGACTAGGAGTTTTCTTCAGTGGACTGCGCCATTTGAGTGCAGAGACTCGCATCGATACACGAAACGGGTTTTCCATAAACCATTCTTATTCAACAGCCTAGTTGTTTAACTCCAATTAGTGGAGAATGTGTGGTCACCTGAAAGTTGCTAACTAACGTGAAGAGAATGATAGCAAAAAAAAAACAAATTCTCCTGGATTTGCACAAATTTCCGTCCCTGAAAGCACCCTTTCGGTCTAGCATGACAGGAGAAATCAATAAAAGAACCAACCTGTTCCGCATCTGGCATACACGGTGGAAGAAGTGGGATAATCGGAAACATGTATTGCAACGGATAGAGCAATGCAGTGAGGGCCAGAACGCAGATGGACAGTTTGTTGTAGTCTGAAGATTGCAGCACCACCTGGGGGGATTATGGACGGAAAAACCGCGCAGTGCACTGAGATACAAGCCATCGTTAACCATACCCAAACACAAATCAGGAGGTTCGGTCTAGGGTGAACCAAACACAAGACAAGTAAACAGTTCAGCCAGATGGTAAAGAGCAATATGGGGCAAACGTGGGGCGGCGTGTTTGAAGACGATTAGCAGTCACATCATCAGGTAATAAGTTGACAAGTAGTGAGTTGTGGTGCGTATCCTTGTCTACAAAACACCAGACCAGTTACACCAGTTGTTATGCCGTTGTACCCGGAAGGGAAACCAATGCAATTGAAACAGCCCACACTAACCAACTCCAAACGATTATCCAATAGTGCAACTCCTGAACGGATTCACACAAAGCCCCACTCGAAAAGGTCTGTAACAAGGGAGGTCTACACGCGCTTTTCTCCAGTGAGTAAGTCACAGACGAGCTTGGCCCAGTGCGGGTTTATTCCATGTGGACGATTCCACTAGCGAAGAAAACTATACACACACAAACACGGGTAGTGCGGTGACAAAACAGGTGATAATCACGTAAGTAGGTGAAATCTCCCAAAAACACCACATCTAAGTGAAAAAACGTGGATGAAATTCAATAATTTCGAATTTCGAAGCGTCATACAGCAGTGTGGCCGGGTGTATCAGAACAGTATGATGAACTTCGATCTGGCGACCTGGAGAGACGTTCCACGCAGGGTGGCACTACTCTGAACACGAATAAGAAGTCATTCAGAACTGTGAATAGGCTGACTTGGACCCCCTTGTTGGAGCTTTTATCTACAACAAATTGTCACATAAAAGTAATGCCGACTGAAAAATCAGAGTCAAGGTAGGTAGAACACTAAACCCAAGTCCCTTTCAGCATTCACACAGGACAGCTTTGGTTGCATTAGATCAAAATGCACTATTAAGAGTGATGCCAGTGCAACACCAAGGCAATTCAGCCTTCTTTCTCTCTCGAACGACGTAGTCGATCGGTATCTCTCGTCAAAACGCCCCCATTTCCGGTACAGACAAATCGCAAATCGATGGAGAAGGCAACGACCGGAAGTTTCCTAATTCTAAATGGCTATATGGCAGCTGACTGAGATACGTTTAAAAACAAGCGTTCGAGTATAGCCACCTGTTTGTTACGCCTCATGACGGTCATGGATGCAGCGCTCGGCCATGAAATGCCAGAATACCTGGAAATGCCGTATTGGGTTCGTTTACGTGCACCGACTGCAATACTTTGGAAACGTTAATGGAAACGTTAATGCCAAATAAGAGACTGTGAAAAGTGCGAGACCCGTACCAGACGCTTTGCTGAGTCAAGCTTCGTGTTAGTAAGGTTATCCTCTGTAGTTCTATCAAAATAATGGTTCTGCACCGGAAAACATAGGGCCTCTCTAGGACGACCATCCCCAGACGACGGCACAACCATGCCCTCCATCTTGCGTAACCGGTTACGGCAACCTCAGTTTACTTCAACGACAGTTACTTCATGCACACTAGCAGAGCCGCCCCTCACGATTCCACCACCTCAAAGTACCCGCACAAGTGGGTTGTACGTTGCTGGATTTCCAGGATGGAAATCGGATCATTTTGAGATGCGCGCTCAATATTGAACCTATATGCCTTTATAAGACGGGTTATGCTGCCCGTCAAACCGTTTTTGTGGTAAAACGCATCAGGAGACGTACAAAAACCAACCTTACGATGTCACCACCGGTCACGACAATTGGACACTTCATCTCTCGATATGGAAGTGACGCAAGGCCAAAACAACTAGTATCTACGCTTTATTAAGATATTCTCTCCCTAAACTCGACACGGATAAGCACCTGGTTTGGTTGAATAGGGCTAGCGGGGTTTGGTGGAACGTGTATTAGGAAGTGTTGGAGCGAAGTAATGTAGGAACATATAGCAGGGGGATAGACGAACTGCGACATCATCATCATCATCACCAACAGCATGATATCAGTGTTCAACACCGATGCTTCACTGCCGTTTCAGTAGTTGCTCGGATTCCTACATTGGAGAAAAGGAGAACAACATAGGGAGCAGGAATTTTCGGAGTTCAACACCTTGCTTCACTGCCGTTTCAGTAGTTGCTCGGATTCCTACATTGGAGAAAAGGAGAACAACATAGGGAGCAGGAATTTTCGGATTACGACTTCTATAAACGACTGATGCGATCCAGCGACTTAAGAGTCCTCGCTATGTGACCGTAGCCAGACATGAACGAATGGCTATCAGTGAGTAAGTTTCAAAAGCGATCGATCGCTGTTACACTTGAAACCATGTGATCGTTCACTTCGTAGAGTGAAACAAGCTGTCACGTATCTGGTGCGGAAATGCGGGAGTCAATGTGTCCTACGCATAATAGCTGCGATTTTTTTTTGGAAGAGAACACCTGGAGGGTGGTAAATAAAACAGTTCCCACATCCTGCTACTCTAAAGATGCAGTGTTCACCGACATAGGCTTGAGCGCGAGTTTCTTTCGCGTCACAGTACTCGCCGTTTTTTTAATGAGGACCGCATTTATCCAACACCTTGAAAGAGAAACCAGTTTCCTGATTCAACGGGAATTTCACTGGTGGGTTAAATATTGGCAAAACGCGAGTCATAAACACAAGCGAGATTAAGGATATCATCAGAGTCTAGGAAAATAGCTGCTCTGCTGATGGGAAGGTGGATTGTATCGTTAATTTTCCAGCCATGTCCTCACAGTTGCAGTTTAAGCGACCAAAACGTGTAAGTTTTTCTCCGGGCGGGCCAGTGACAGAAGCAGGGTATGTAAAACACTAGTAGTCAATGGCTTTTGACACGGCATCCCTCTTTAATGTGACTTGATGTGAGAGACACTAGTGCAATCAATTGAGTAGTACATGAGGACAAAACCGCAATTGGGACAAAATAAGTAACTTGAATCGATACTATCCTATGTCGATCCGCCGGCCCATTCTTCCGAACCGGATAGTTGCAACAAAAAGGGAAAATGGTTTGTTTCTGAATCGAAGGTAATCAAACAAGAGCAGAATGAGACAACCAAAAGTATTCCAAACAGAAAATCACTAACTTTCGAAATCCCAGAACATACCTTCTGTTCAAGTAGCAAACAAACGAGGATTCGCAGTGTCCTCGAAATTCCCAAGAGTTGAATTGGCAAATGCAACGGGAAATCAACCAAAGGGAGTCGAGATTTGTCGGGAAGTGCGAATATCAACGGCTTCATTAGAGCTTTTGGTTGAACAGCCAACTGAATCAAAGAGAAAAACGAGTCGTGTTGTTGTTTCAATCAGGTGGACTTCCCAACGATACAAAGTTACAAAATAACTGAACCTGAAGTCAAAAAACGCTGTTTCAAGTGGTCATGAAGGCACAAAACTGACTCCAGGAATGGAGGTTTCGAGTGTCAGGGGTGAGGCGGTATCTTTAAACGATAGTTTCGTCGCACTCCAATGAGGAGCTGGATTGTAAATTCGCTGTTTTGATGCAAGGAGCTCACACACACACACAAACACACATCGGATAATCACCGCTTATCTACGAGCACATTGGCATCCACGTGAGAGCCGATAGATTGTCTCACGCGAAAAGCAACATCCGGAATTCACAGCCACATTGTTGAATTCACCTTACTGAGTTGCTGTCCACATGGCTGTGTAACGCCTCCAAAAGGTGAGGGTGGCCGACTTCTCAATCAAACATTCAACCCTACCCGCAGGAAACAGTATCATTCAAACAAATTAGTCATGCAGAAACAGGTGCTCGTAGCCTGTTCCATCAGTATTGAGGATGATACCCAGAAAAGTCAAGTGATAGTGCAGCTTTATTAGGTCAAATTAACTCTATAAGAGATAGTAGACAGATAATGTCAAGCCTGCTGCCTTAGCACACAGCCCGTAGAGCAGAATAGCGGGCCACATGTAGTGATCGCTTGATTGCGCGGAAAAACCAGAATACCTGTAACCGCAGAAGGGGTGACGTTGTGGCTCCATCGATAGCCACCAACTCGACAGCCATCCTGCAAGAACTACTAGGTTCGCCAGACCCCTAGATATACAGATGGTGTTTAAGACGGTCAGGATCTGATTTGAACCTGACGGTAATAGGGCTCGAGTTGACTAACTGGTTCAGTTGCGAGGTTACTAAGTAAAATATCCGAGATTCGAACTCATCTCCGGTATCTCGGCTTGAACAACCTGGCACTATCTCAGCCCAGGTGCTTCTTTCGGGTGACATGACAACTAGGCACCGAAAGGGATGTTACAGCTGAACGATCAATGTTATCGCTATTATTACTGTTATTAGGCGATTAAAACAGACGTTCAAAAGGATCGCGGAATACAGGATACAAGCTTCAAAGTATCAGCCTTCATGTTAAATATACCTACTTAGTAACCTGCTACCGTATTCCTGGCGAACTAGCCGCAATTTGAGTGATAGTGAGATCAAAGTGACTAGCAAGCAGGGACACATCGTTAATAAGCGTGTTCCAGGTCAAACACAATCTGTGAGGGAAGACAACGCCAAAATAAATATAGACTGTGCAGTGGTTGGAATGAAGACATCCGCTGAACAAGAAAAATTTGGTTTTCTTATCCTCAGTTTACGTTAATCAATAACAATCCATTAAAAACGCATCAACGTCACTAAGTAGCAGAGTTTTTTACAACCCTCAAGAAAGTTTCGCAGAAGAAAGGAGACCTATAGTCAGAGAATAACAGGCTAGAAACAGCCCTAACGTGGATAAACTGAATAACATATGAATAAAGCACAACTGTGGAGCGGGAGAGTGAAGTTTAATTCCTTGGGGGGAAATAGGAAATAACATGGCCCTGTTTGGCAACGAGCGGCCTAGAGGAGTATAAGGGGCGAGAGGGCACTGGTGGTTAGAGCGCGAATTTACTGACCGGAAGGTCCGTGGTTCGAACCCGACCTCTGTCTCTCGACTTCCTCTGTCTAGGCTTAGGTAACCTGATAGTATCCCAGTCCTCGTGTTTCTTTCTGGTGGCATGGCAGTTAGGCACCGAAAGGGTGCTACATCAGAAAATGGGCATGAAGGATAAATGACGATGAGGGGGCTTGTGAAATATCAGCCAAAGAAAAGGAGTACACGAGGCATCTAACCCATTACTAAATACTACCCGTACTCAAGAATTAGGCGTGTCTCTGATCTGTAAGATAGGTGGAAGAAGTATATATGAAAGCGAACAAACGGAATTTTCTAGGAATTCGGGCCGCGGGAAGAAGCTAGGACTGTTGGAAAAGAGTATATCAAGAAGTAAACAGTTAGATGGTTAAGGGATAAAGTTGGAGCTCATAAAGAGTGGGAGTTTGGTAGAACATCGACTCAAGCAAAGATAAATATGCTTGAGTTTGGTACAAAAGAATAGCAATGCTTAGAACATAAATGTTTAACGCCGGTGTTCAGAATACTGATGGCCTGCACGCAGTCGCCACTAATCTGAGATTAAGCAAACCTATGAATAAGAAATGTGCAGGGTTGCATGGTCTTCAAAACCATGGAGATAGGTAGCGATAATTATCAAGAGAGAGAAAAGTGAGAAAATAACCTTGAGGAACAGCTAAAGGGACCTTGTGATTCCGTGAGAGAGTAGAAGGTATCCGAACTGAACAGCTTGAAAGGAAGGTTCCAATTCACTCCGACGAGTCATGATGTAGTTCATGCAGGAGTAGCCCAGAGATGAGATAGCCGTCCATGGTCGACCAAAAACCCTCGAGACACCAAGGAATAGCAACTAGTTTCAGTCAGACGAGTTCAAGGTAGAGGATCATATCCGTGACACGTACGCCAAAAATTCACTAATCCCATATTAGTGTTCACTCAAAAAGGTTCTTTTTTTCTAATAATCAAATAATAAGTAATAATCGTTCAGCTGTAACATTCGAGGGAAGCACGAGGGCTGAGATACCTCCAAAACGCCAGGAACAGTTGATGCTAGGGTTAGTTTAGAACCACTAATCTTCCGACTAGTAAGTTCGAGCCTCAACCACTGAGCTACCTCTGATCCCTCTGTTCCCCGACTAATTTAGGAGACTTGCTTCAAAAAAATAGTGGCTACAAAGCAAGTTTATTCAACAGCTCTCTGATAAGGAGTGGGAAGTGATTGTCAGCAGCAAGCACGTGATAATCGGTCGTTGCCGTTCCGGACTGATTTGTTCGCCTCAAGAAACGGTATGACGCCAGAAATATGAATCATAAGAAACTTCTTGACATAAATCAACGAGATAAATGAGCAACCTACTGGTTCATTGAATATTCTGTACGGCACCAAGATAAATGAAACTTAGCAGTGGGTGAGATACGGTGGCGTCACTTCCTTATCATCTTAAGAGGCACAGCTTCAATGAACATGGCAGGGGTAAATAGTGACCTAAAAGGTTCAATGATCGTAATCAATCCTCCCAGTTTGTGTAATGGAAGAGGACAAAGAACCACCAATGTAATACGAACAGCGATGGTGTGCAAACATTAAGAGTAGTTTGTTTCAAAGACATACATGAATACAGGTCTTCCCGGGGACTGGAGCGGGCGCGCTTAACAAACGCAACATCCAGATTTCTATTTCTTGGACACTGCGAGTGACCAACGAAGAAGTCGTCGAAGGGATCCCTCCCGCCAAAACTCCCCAAACGGTTTCCCTAGAAAGATTAAATGATGACAGAAGGCACAATTTCTGGGTGAACATCGTTAATGAAAACTGATAAAACTTATCGAACCAAAACTCCAAAACCAACTGACCTGTCTGACCGTTTGGAACGACTTCGTTCGTGCAATTTGTGAATAAGTGTGTGTAAGAACTCAACCAACGCGCGGAATTTAGTGAAGAACGGGTGATGGGTGATAAGGCATAGAGAAGTTAGGGTGTGCGTCCGTAAACGAACTGAACTCCTGGCGCGCTGTGTCTTCTTTTCATGTAACCCGGTATCCTCCTGTCGACGATCTGAATTTCTCGGGAGAGGTAACTGAGAAAATTCCACGTCCGACGTCCGACGAGGCATCTCTCCAACAGCCGGAACGCTTGAAGTACTGTGTTTCCGTCCCTCAGGACGACGAGGAATCGGTCTGAGAAAATTAAGACACACGCCATAGCGAACTTTGTTGGATTCTTTGTCTGTCAATGTGAAAACGAAAGAGATCGGCATGCGCACTGGCGTAGAAGAGTCTGAATTTGCTCTCGCTGGTCGGGAACCAACGACGTTGAAGCAACCCTCAGGTTGACAAAATAAGGCAACATCAGGAGGCAAAACAAAATCCTCGTGGTCCGTCGGAGGAAATCGATTCAAAATAACTGGAGTTTGGATGGATGAACTAGTACGGTTGGTAGAATGAGATCCAACAAGGACAATATAGTCTACAAGTCGCGGGCAGAATTCTCCCACCATTATTTGAACCTGAGGAATCTCTTGTACACGCAGTAATCCCCTTGCGACAACAGTGGAACCAAAGTAGGAACAACTATGTCAAACAAGCTGTCATCTGAAATGGGAAGAGATAAAGTACTAGATGAAAAGAAAACAAGGAAAGAGAACGATACATGGTGTCATCTCTGAAGAAAAATATGAATATCGTCATCAGAGTCGCCCTCTAACGAATCACCTGAAGTTATCTATCTAGTATTATCTGTAATGGCCCGATAATTTATTCGATACTGATTAGCCACGGTTCAAAACGGCGTAACTAGTCAGAGATGGGCTCCCAATAGCTCGGCATAATTACATCACTGATCTCGAAGTAGCTCAATGGATAAAGGGCGACCACCCAGTGAGAGGTCCGCGGGTCGAACCCAACCATGAGCTGCGGCTCTCCGGTGAAATACAATGCTGCGTCTCATTCGAGGAAATAACATTCATTGGGTCGTATAACGCTACCTCCTCTGAATTGAAACTTCTTGGTCTTGACCGGTTTGACCGTCTTGTTTTGGCATATATTCCGATCGATTTCATCTGCAAGGCGGTCGATTCTCCTGTTGTGGCTCCAGATCAGTCCGGCGATTTTATTTGGCGGTTAGATAAGGCATTCCAGCCTGGTCTCTGTCAATGTTGGGGGAGGACTGGGTCGCGCGAATTGACTAACTGGAGGGTTCAAGGTTCGAACCCCAACTCTGCATTTTGACTTCCCCTGTCTAGGATTGGGCAATCTAGCAGTACCCCAACCCTCAAGTTTTCTTTTGGTGGAATGGCAGTTAGGCACCGAAAGGGTGTTACAGCTGAACGATTGCCTTTATGCCACGAAGAGACTGGACCTTATTGTGGTGTGGCGTTTCGTGTACCTCGACGACCCATTGAGCTATACTGGGCGGGTGTCCCCGCGACGCCCACAGTCTCTCATACCAGGTTGGTCAACGGTTAAAGGTCTGATGAACACAGTCTTCTGGTCCTCCAGGTTGGGGGTTGGAATGAGTGGCAATTTGCTCCGTAAAAACGGTAATGTATCTGCATTTCCCGCCAAGCACCGCTGCCTTGCGGCCAGACTTTTGAGCCAAAGGCTTTGGTTAAGGACCCTAATCGTGCTTACCTGTCTAGATGTGGACGCCCTGCCAATATCCCAGCCTATGTACAGCCATGAATTGTACACATACAAATAAACTCATGCCATATCGGCCGTCGCATGATGCCAGGTTGCCTTACTTGCTGCATACAGCAGGACGAATAAGCCAAAACAAGGTACTGCTGACGCCAATGTTCGTCCTCTTTGATTTACTTTTTCTTTCTCTTCCCTCATCCTAGCACGAACTCTCTCCGTGTAGGCCTGTCAGATAGGACTAATAACTCTGTTCGTCCTGCATCGGTTCTGACAGTAACATCTGCGTGTTCTCCGGCACTGACATCCCCAGGCAGATCGAAATCAATATTCAAGCCTCGACACCCAGTCTATCTGACTGTTTTCAATGGTCGCACTCTGAAGCGATCAGGACAAGCTGCTTTTAATCTCACACTGGAAAAGAAAAACTATCAAGCGTTCAGCTGTAGCCCCCTTTCGGTGCCTAGCTAGCTACCATGCCACCCGAAGGAAGCACGAGGGCTGGGATACTGCCAGGTTGCCCAAGCCTAGACAGGGAAAGTCGAGAGGCGGAGGTCAGATTCGAACCACGGACCTTCCGGTCAGTAAATTTGCGCTCTTACCACTTGGGCCACCTCGCTCTCACACTGGACTCGTTTGGCATTGATGTGTTGTGTCTCAGAAACAGAAATTCAAGCACAGTAGTTGAGCTAACCGCCCTGTCACTCTCCACTCGTTTCCGGCTGCGTACCTGTGGCGATCCAGAGGCTGCTGTAGAAGGGTTCGAAATCGTCCCAAGTAACCGAACGGAAGGATCCTTGCTTGACTGGATACCGGTTGATAGTTGCCTGTGTGCAGTTCTCCTGGTAACGTCTGCGAAGTAGCCTTAAGCGTAAAGGTAACCGGTTTGTTTGTCGTGTCTGCTTACGCCCCAACTGACTGTAGCTCTGAAACCGTTTTAATGATGTCCTGAATGCCCTGTTGCAGCGGGCTAGAAGCTCAGAGGTCCTAGAGCACAAGTGGCAGGATTAGGAGGCCGGCATGGATTGGAATATGCACGTACGGACAATGAACGATTGCTTCAGCCGTGTGCTGATCGCGGGCTGTTTTTATGCAATACTAACTTCCGAAATAGCCAGTCATTTGGCCAAATGTTGACAGTCTAGTACTTGAGTAGGGAGACCTCAAGGAAGAAGACAAAGGACACCGGATGAAGACCGTCTATATTGCAAATGAAACAATCGAAGAGCACTGCGGCTCAGTTGGCTACAACATGGAGAAAATGAAATCTCATCGAAAAAGGTAGAACTGTTCGTTGGTATCCGACCATCCTAACCAAATGAAAGCAATAATCCGTAATTTCGCTTACTGACTGCATATGGACGGCAACAGTTCAGACTGTCAGACTGCAATGTCAACAAACCGCAAGGAATCCTCCCAGCCTGCCACCTGACCTCGACCCGAATGATCCTGGTCCCAGGTGCATATTGACTACCCTGTCCTATTGGTGTAACTACCTCATCTTGGTGGACGCTTTCTCCAAGTTGTTGTCCCGCCAACGACGGCCAACAACCTGCAGTTCCTGTCTCAGATCTTCAGTCAGAATGACCTGCCGTAGACCATAGTGATAGATGGATCACAGTTCAGACAGAGGTGCTTCCAAGAGTTCGTTAACACCATCCTGTCATCACTTGCATACACTGTCTCCTGGGGCTGCTGCGGGAATCCAGTTAAGCTGCTTCGTAAATGTTCGGTCCATCTTTAAAATTGTCGTCTTCGTGAAGGAATCAATGAGCCGCTTTGCTCAATTATCGTACCACTAAGATAATGATAAATAAATTAAATAAATAAATAAATAAATAAATAAATAAATAAATAAATAAATAAATAAATAAATAAATAAATAAATAAATAAATAAATAAATAAATAAATAAATAAATAAATAAATAAATAAATAAATAAATAAATAAATAAATAAATAAATAAATAAATAAATAAATAAATAAATAAATAAATAAATAAATAAATAAATAAATAAATAAATAAATAAATAAATAAATAAATAAATAAATAAATAAATAAATAAATAAATAAATAAATAAATAAATAAATAAATAAATAAATAAATAAATAAATAAATAAATAAATAAATAAATAAATAAATAAATAAATAAATAAATAAATAAATAAATAAATAAATAAATAAATAAATAAATAAATAAATAAATAAATAAATAAATAAATAAATAAATAAATAAATAAATAAATAAATAAATAAATAAATAAATAAATAAATAAATAAATAAATAAATAAATAAATAAATAAATAAATAAATAAATAAATAAATAAATAAATAAATCGTTCAGCTGTAACACTCTTCCGGTGCCTATCTGTCATACCACCCGAGGGAAGCACGAGGGCTGGGATACTGCCAGGTTACCCAAGCCTGAACATGGGAAGTCGAGAGGCACTGACTATTGCTTTTCTCAGGCTAGTCAATCTTATTAAATGGTATTGACATGGCTGTTCCAGTTGTCAAAAGTCTTCTCCAACTTTCGATCTTTCGATGTCAACCAAAGCTCTCAAGCTTTGCTTGGGCTCTAAACTATTTGGCGTTTGGTGGCTTCGCGTGCGCCGTCGTACTCACCATGCTGGGATGGATTTCCTGGTATCAATCAAGACCAGAGAACTAGGCGATAGTGGCATTTGATCGTATCAGAGGGGTCAGATAGATGGCACTGAACACTGCTAGAACACCTGCTTTCACGTTTTGCCGTATTTCGTTCACGTGTTGGTTAACTGTAAGGGGTATTTGGGATAGCGCATATCTCCGACGTTGGTGGAATGGCATGCTTCTCAGGCTTGTTCGCAGTATTGCGTGATCTAATCGTTCAACTGTATCACCTTTTCGATGCCTAACTGCTAAGACACCCGAGGGAACCACGACGGCTGGGATACTGCCAAGTTGTCCACGCCTAGACAGGAAAAGTCGAAAGGCAGAGGTTGGGCTCGAACCAAGGACCTTCCGGTCAGTAAATTCGTACTCTTACCACTGAGCCACCTCGTCTCCCTGCGTAATCAGTATCAGGTTGTATGTCCCAGCAGGAACGGAAATCTATGGCTGCTGTTCTTCACCGATAGCTGATGGTCACGTGATCCGGTTGGGTCTACAGTTGATTTGCATTTAAAGACAGCCAGGTTTCGCGACGCCACTGCTTATGTTGAAAATCCATGCTGACCAGAAACAGCTAATGATTAGCAGACTCTGGAGTCGCTCCCCGATAGGTGTAACGGGCATCAACTTCGAATCAACCGCTCAGTATGCTCCCAGCGGTTCAGACAACCAAGACATTCATGTCACCCACAAGGATGACAATGTGAGCGCTCCTCGCTTAACCAATAAATCTTGATAAAAAGTATTCTCAACGTCGGAACTGTAGTCCGTTGTGGCATATGTCGACAATACAAAAAGGCACCAATTTTGTCGAGTGGAACTGAGCTTCATTGAGCTTGATGAACAGCTTGAGCTGAACAGCGCAAACACGACTGTACACTGGGACCCAATTCAGTAAGGCTCGTTTAGCTCTGAAGATGGGTGCAAGTTCCATGCCACATATGTTACGTACCATCACTTTCGGAGCAACGGATACAAGAAGTGAAATGTGAGAGATGAGTTCATCCTTGAGGGTTGAGCCTTGGATGCATGTTTCAGGGACAGTATATACCAACTTAAAAGGAGCAAAAGGTCTAAGTACGCACTGCCTGTTTACCAGTCCGACAAAAATTACAGAAGTCACAAGCTCTTAGGCAGGAAGGATCTCATGAACTTAGAAATGTTTCTTTTGTTTATTGTCATGTTCAGTTGTATGGTGAGAAGGGATTGGGGAAATCAATCGGTGGGCAAAGAATGGTGCTGAGAAATGATATCTCCCAGTTTTAGGTGAATGGCAGCCACTGAACGACAAGAACAAAACCGACCAGGGAAACTTTCGAGAAGGCCGCGACCTTGTGTTCCAATCCCCGTGAATCCATGACTCCTTTTCGGGTTTAACCGTATTACTCGCATGGACTTCCAAATACTCTATGGGGCCTACGTCAGACCGCTCCTAGAGTACGCCAACCAAGTTGTCTACCCTCATTGAGCGTGTCCAGCGAGCCGGTACGAAAATGGTTGCCGGCCTCAAATCCGTGGAATACGGGACGCGTCTCGAGATACATGATCTCTTTCCCCTGGAGTACCGTCGCCTCCGACGAGACATAATTCTCACTTATGCCCTGTTTGAACAAAGCTTGGCAAACAGGTTTTTTGCCGTTGACCCAACAAACACACGGCGGGGACATAGTGAGAAAAATTTCAACCTCAGAGCACACGCATTCATTAGACAATTTTTTTTCTCATTTCGGGTAGAAGCTGCGTGGAACG